CATCCATCCATCCATCCATCCATCCATCCATCCATCCATCCATCCATCCATCCATCCATCCATCCATCCGTCCATCCATCCATCCATCCATCCATCCAACTATAGTTCGAATTTCGTACTCTATTTTTTCTTTAATTCAGCTCCCTTGGCGCTTTTCTTTCGCTGTGCTCCCGTTACATCTGTTTTTAAGTAGCTGCTCCGAATTTTATCACCCATGCACACACACACACACACCGAAGGCCGATTATCTCATTTGTGCGAAACAGCGGGAACGCGGTTCATTGCACTCTTTCGGTGAATACAAAACAATCGGTGTGGTTTTTGTTTGGCACACAGCCTCACACACACACACACACACACACACGTTCTGAAAGGGGTAGCAGTGAATATGGGATGAATCCGGAGGCGAACGAACCACAAAATAAGGAAACAAGTGAACTATCACAGTGAATGAATGAGTAGGCCAGTTGGTGAATTAACGTGTGTGTTTGTGGGCAGCGGAGCGTGAGTAGAAACCGGTGCGCATTTCAGTCCCCTTGGGAAAATTATCAGCAACCGTATCGTTAAACAGAGTCGGTGTACTGATCCACTGTTTACAAACTTCTCGTAAGACATTCATCCGAATTGTCGATCGATAGTTATTGAACCGAATAAATAAATAAACAAACAAATAACTGACTGGATGAATGAATGAATGATGACGATCTCGGGGTTAAGTCCTTTTTAAACGGTCAGCCTACTCTGTGCATAGTTGTAGAAGTGACGTTTCAGATCTACTCGGTTTCAAGTGTTTGCATAAACCCCGGTCTGCTGACTATACATATACAGTTTCTCAAGCTCGTATGACTACAGGCACGTGCACGTACGCGTATGCGGACGGAGCAGACGACACGCAACACGGCAATAGTAGAAACATTGAAAGTTGGGGGGCAAACAAAACATTGAAAAGAAAAAGAACCAATAAACAAACGCATAGGGCTATCAAAATGGACGAAACCAAATTGGCGCTGTTGTTGTCTTTCTGGTGGTGGTGGCGGCGGTGGACACTTGTAAGTTAGAGGAAACATACAGAATAACTCACTGCACACATCCGCGCATAAGGTGAACATAAAAACGACAGAGTAGAAGACAAGAAGAAAGAAAGACAGAGATAAAAACCGGAAAACAATTTTCAAGGAAAGTTATGTGGAAGGAAACTAGTTGGGGTTGTGTGTGTGCGTGCTTGCTTGCTTGCTCGCGTTTACTATCAGTCCACAATGAACAGGTTCAATGTGACCGTACTGGACATTTAAAGTCTCGCCTCCGGACCGAATGCCATTCTAATGCACGTGTACGCACACAGACACACACACCTTAAAATCTCTGCTGTGGGCTGTCACCATGGTGATATCGGGACTGTTGAATCCCAATGACTGAACCTAACCACTACGAAAAGTTTACGAAAAGTTCAACTGTGAGAAATGTTTTCGCAATCCGTAAAAATAAATATCCTGATGGATGACCGATTAAAATTGACCCTTTTAATGCGAACGGGAATAAATGGTGACCCAACTGAGAGTACTAAATACCATACCACGATGCAAACACAAATTAATCGAATGGGTTGGGGAAGGATTTGATCTTGTTTCGTGACCACAAAACCATCGGTAACATTAGCCCCAAAACTCACTAAACAGTGTCTTCCCTTACTGGTTCAGTGAGAGTATATAAGGAAGGACCGTGTGTGTGTGTGTGTGTGTGTGTGTGTGTGTGTGCTCGGGGGGACGGAGTGGGGTGGGAGATGGCATTCCATTTATTCACGTGATCTAAACCAGAATCGAATCAGCACCAACAACAATATCACATATCGCATTCAGTGCACCATTTATCATAAGGATCAGTTCCTTAAAGTTTCACGCTGCATAATCCATCGTTAACAATAAGCGTTCTTTTACTTCGATTCAACAGAATGCTGTGAAAACGTAAGTAATAAATTTTGGTAAATACGTTCAGCAATTTTGCAAGCTTCAACAATGTATCGGTAAAGTCGTGATTGTAATCAGTTCCATAGGCATCTCGTATCATCAACTGCTTCGCCTCTGCCGAAGACGCAATATCGTGTTGTCCGTAAAACGGAATTAGAATATGCTTATGCAGGGTCCGTTCATGACTTCGGAAATCTTCTTCTTAACCAATAGCTGTTAGCTGATCAACTCCGATCCCCCTATCCCCTTCGGACCAAAACAAAGCATGTTTTGTCCCCTTATTTTCTTTTTCATGCATTTTATTCTTTTCCCCTTAAGTTATCAACTGTTTGACCCATACAAAACATTACTGCCTGCAACACAATTATCCAATCTTGGGGTTGTGGGAACCATCCAACCTAATTTTTTCTTGTCCTTCGCTTTTTCATTTTACTTCGTTTTCATTGAATATACACAAAAATACAATTTTTACGAAGGGGGAAGAGGACCATCAAAGGGGGCTACCATTCAACACACACTGGGGCGGGAAGCCAGGCGGTGGTGGTGGTGGTGGTGGTGGTGGGATTCGAACACACGTTCTCCGGGGTGATGATTTGGTGACATTACCACATGGGCCATCACCGTCCGCAGTAAGCGCTTCCTGGATTTCAGGCGGTACTGCTAGCAATCGATCACTGATGAATAGTATCGTACGTGAATACAAGGATTATTGTACTCGACAAAAACGGAATTGTGATAAATTTCGGACAACAGATGGTGTGCTGCAACGTAATCGCATGCAAATGAGCAACCACGCGCAATAGAATGTGGAGCCATACGAGTTCTATGAGGCTTTTTCATTTCATAGATGAGAATTGGCTAGCAATCGGTCACAATGAAGGTTTTTGTCATCGTCATCGTCGTAACAATAATAATAATGGTATTTGTTCCTTTGGGTCACCGTAACGAACTACCGGAATATTGTTTCATTTAGAACTCATAAAGAGCAGCAGGCTCACACAGAGCCCACCAAAACAATGTTATTTCTCATCAAAACATATGTTCAAGTATTTGTACAATTCTTAAATGACCCATCAACTTTATCCAAACAATTTTCGATGCTGCAATCATGCGAAATTCCCACATTCTTTCACCTCTCTCAAATCACTGTTTAAATCGTTTTATTCTTTGGCGCATTCGCAAATTTACTTATCACAAGTGTTCCTCCCTGAGTACATATCATGCATTCAAACGAAGCTCTATACTCCGAATTTGACCGACGGTAATGGATTGAAAATTTCCTTCAAATCTCTTCATTTGAATCAATATATTCTAGCAGTGTACCCCGATATTTCAGTAGCCAGTTTTCTCATGTCCATCTAGACTGCTGATGTTGAATCTCGATCAGGATCAAGTTGATACGGATTCTATGTGATGTGTCACTCCATCACATCCCAGGGCTAGTATTCTCAGTTCTTTGGGCTCATCAGTGGATCCTTGTGAGCCATCATGATACCAAAGCACATGGTTACGAAAAGCCTATAGAGAGTACGATACCAAAAACTAAATTCAGTTTGTGCCTTGAGAGTCGAAAGAGATCAATCATGCCCCAGTGCCTGTGGTCGTAACACACGTTTTGTTCCATATTGATAGTGCGTATCTTGTCCAAAAGTTGAACTAGCCACCGATCAGAGGCCGGCTTTTCTTCTCAAAGGGATTACCGAATTCCAACCGGTTAAGATTTGGAACGATGATAGAGGATCGTGTTGACGATCCCAGAGAAAAACTAAATCGTACATACTTATTTCGGACGGGCCTTTTTCACGTGCTATTTATATAGTGAAAACTTTACAAAGACTGCATAATCCA